GCGGGAATATACGCGCTTTTTCTTATACCTGTAGAAATGTTAAATCAAACTTTGACCGATTAACCGTCGAAAAGCGCGGACGATTCAGTATTATTAATTTTGCGATTTTTTTGCTGTATTGTGAACTCTATAGGTTCGAATTAGGGGCGATTAGCTGGATTAAGTGTAGCAGTGACAAGTGTGGAATGGATGATTGGATGTTGGTGAAATTTGTGGAAGGAAAGTGAACTATATGGATGCGCGAACGTTTATGTTAGGAAGGCTAGATTGTTCATAAGGGTGGAATTTATCCTTTTGAGTGCTATGGACGCATATGTGCGTCCGGCGAAAGCTATCGCTGTGGACTATGGACGCATATATGCGTTTGTCAATTTTTTCGATCTCCCGTGTAGTGTAGTTACAATTATCTTTATACGAGATGGATATACATATGTGTTCCTTTGCTACCTATGAAGAATGCATGTGTGTTGTTTAATTTGGTGTAAAAGAATTACAATAATAACTTATTGTTAGTTGCGTGTATAATTGACATAAATCTACAAAACGCACTTTTTAAATTTTCATTACGTGAAAATTGATGTTTTTCCAAACATCTCCGAGTTTCTTCGTCCTCGAGGACAAGAGTATTGCCTCGGGAATGCAGGCCCGCGCCCCCATTTCCTGGGACTTTCCCAGGGAAAAGGGGCTACTTAAGGGAGCCCCGAAAAAGGCACGAGGCCTTTTGTCGTAGACCTTCTCTGCACGCGCATCATGTACTTTACATTTGAAATTAATTTAAGGATTACTGTGTAAATAAATATATTTTTGTTACCCACTTTGATGGTAATCATTTGCACCACGTCACTTCAAAAGTACTAATAAATTATATAACTTCTTTTCTGAAATAGAAAAATGGAATTTTTTTATGTCTTCTTAAGCGACCTGATTAGGACGCAACGAAGTCTCGGTTCGGCGGATTATAGTAATAAACAACTTAACGCGACACTCAGACAATAGGTCCCAAAAACACTCGGGACCATAAAACATTCGTTACCGGGGATCGAATTTGTTTACAACAGCGTCACAGTTTTCGTCGACCAATAGCAGAACACACCACGTTTCCCACCTCCATAACACAACCACCAATCAGAACCAACCTAATGTCTATATATATACCTACACATCTGAAAACCGGCAATCACCGTAAGACGAGGGCACGAGACACATAGTTACGAAGCGAAAAATCCAAATTCAGTGAAACATCTAAAAAACATCTAATCAAAACAAGAATTCATCAAAAGATCTACAACATATAATCAAACCAAGAATTCATCAATACATCTACAACATCTAACCACAGGACAAACATCTAAGCAAAATAAAAAACAACTAACCCAACAACGAAGTTTTAATACACCTCGAACCAGCGAGACCAATCATCAACCCGCGTCAGAACTCCTGATTATAAGATTTGATCAATGCCCACGACGCAACACGGCTGTATTTTTACAGTGTTAAGAACTGTGCAATGTTTGAAATAAGTTACAGAAGATTAATCGTTACTACATTTTATTTGAAATTTTACAATTTTATCTACAAATTGTACAAACTGCAAATTCGCGGTTAGAAGTGCAATTTAATCAGGACATTTGACAAAGCATATTCAAGTAGGCGAATCCTGTTTTTACTACCTGGAAATAGACAAAACGATTGACTTTCTTTTCCTCCAAGGAAGAATAAATGACGCGTAAATAGAGGGAACAAGTTTAGTTTCACTTACATCGCCGAACGTGTAAAGCGACATATGTAATACTTTTCCAGCGGTGATTTCAACGACCATGTTCGATCGTTTAATGATCAGAATTAAATCGAGGATTCTTCTCTGTGGCAGATAATACCAATCTGTCATGTAAACCACTTCACCAACTTTCAAGCACTGTTAACAATTTCCTGGATTAGTCCTTGTTGTATGTTGTTTTCGATCTTGCTAGATCGTTCGATCATGTTTTCAATGTTGCTAATCGTTAATTTGTCTCTTGTACCTGTTCTGTCAGCCTGTCGCTGATATAACAGAGTATAAATGTATTAGAAACAATAGCAACGAGTGCTATAAAGTACGTGATTAAGATTTTAGCATCGCTCTCTGCCCATTCCTAGAAACAAGCACACATTTATACGTTCCGAAGATATTTTCAATATTTTTTATCATCGATGTTGTATGTAGGGAATTTTGTACTGTCGATGTTCACGCAATTATATCACATTTCGGCATGATTAATAATTTAACACACAATCTTTAACACCAATTTCGTGTAACACACGGCAGTAAGTAAGTACAGTAGTGCACACATAAGCGTCCGCATTTTTGCACACTTAAGCGTCCGTCGCTATCCCCACCAATTCTTGGAAATGGGACATCGGAGTGGAGTTCGAGCGGGCTGAGTGAAACAAAGTATTCGATATCGACACCTGAATGTGAACAACTGACACACTTGATATATCGGTATCACACTCAGACACATCTCCTCTCTTTTGTTTAGTTAAATTCGCAGGAGTCACCTCCCCGCAGTCGGGGCCGAATGCGGACGCTTATGTGTGCGCTACTGTACTATGCAGAGATGAGAAAATGGTTAGGACGAGGTATAGTTGATGGAAACGATACAGTGAGGTCGTAAATTGAAACATTAAGTGGCGCTCAGGACGCTCGTCGCCTGCGCAATAATAATTCCCGTATCGATCAAAATTAGCCTACAGCTGTTAGACAAATTTTTTAAATATACCGTAATGGAGTAGAACCGCCCTGAGCGAGGATCGAGCGTCTTATTTCCCTCGAATTGCTGTTTCGCATTTTCACGCTTGACTGATTATACGACATCGCTATATCGTTTCCACCGATCCTTTTGTTCAAATTGCCTTTGCGCGTGATATCATATGAAAAACTGAATATCTACATATAATTCTTATCTCCGTACGATCAAAATTACATCTACCATGAATATATAATATCCAACTAGAATATCGTCTAGATACGCGTAACAGAAATCGAGGCCTCTCAATACTTCATCGATGAAACGTTGGGACGTCTGAGCAGCGTTCCTCAGCCCGAACGGCATAACAGTGTATTCGAAAAGACCGAAAGGTGTAGTGACCGCGGTTTTTGGAATATCATCTGGATGTACCGGAATCTGGTGGTATGCTCGCACCAGATCGATGGTCGAGAATATCGTTTTCTCGGACAGCGTACGCGCGAAATCTTCTATGTGCGGAATCGGATAGCGATCGGGTACGGTACGAGAATTTAACGCGCGATAATCTCCGCAAGGTCTCCAGCCGTTATCCTTCTTCGGGACCATATGTAGGGCGGAAGCCCATTGGCTCCTCGAAGATCGGATCTGGCCGAGACTCATCAAATTCTCGAATTCCGTTTTTGCTATTTTGTACATCTCTGACGACAGTCTACGTGGTTTACAGAAAGTCGGTTGCCCAGAAGATGTACAAATATGGTGTACTACATTATGCTTTATCTCGCGAGGAATTGTTGTTGGTCGCGTGAGGTCCGGGAACCGTTCTAGCATCGCGTGGTACGGCGATGTCCCGTTGATAGTCTTGACGGATCCCTGCTCGTGCGTGGCGATCCTCCCGGTTGCTGTCAACGTGGTCAGTGGATCCCGCAGCTTGCGATTCCGCAGATCCACCAGAAGCCCGTAGTGTGCGAGGAAGTCTGCGCCGATGATGGGCTTGGATACGTCAGCGATGACGAAGCTCCACCGGAACGCTCGTCGAAGTCCCAAGTCCAGGTTGAGCACCCTCACACCATACGTGCTGATGGTCGATCTGTTGGCCGCGAACATCTCGTACGGCGTCTTCTTGACTTGGCCTGTGATACGCGTACGAGGATATACGCACAGGTCCGAGCCGGTGTCCACGAGGTATTCTGTCCTCGTCTCACAGTCGGTAATGAAGAGGCGGCTGGTCTTCGGTCCGTCACTGATTGCCTCGTTCAGTTCCGGCTTGCCTCGTTTCCCGACGTGTACGTGCATGGTTCCTTGCACTTCGTAGAACGAGCTCCGAAAGTGAGGTGATACCAGCAATACCCTTTTGTAGCGGGCGATCGGCTGCGGTTTCTGCTTCGCGAGCGCGATCGTCTCTTTGAAGTGCCTGCTACTTGTTGTCGACGTAGGAGATTTGTCAGCTCGGCGATTTGAAATTCCATTTTCTCCAACCGTTGCTGCATTGGGTCAGGTGTCTGGTTGGCGACGGCGGCTACCTGCGGTGGCGGTGACACAATGGCCTGTGTAGTCGCTGGAAGTCTACTAGACCATAGTGTCCTTAAAAATTCTTCCGATACCGTATCGCCTGCCAACGTCTTAATATGCCGGAGGAATTGCGACGGAGTCCGGTCACCTATTTCCTCCTTCTCCAGCAGTTGATGGATCTTCCTGGTCTGCGATGTCGATACTCTATGTATCAACTCTTGCTTTATAGTTTCGTATCTTTCTCGCTCTGGCGGGTTGCATATAACGTCGTGCACCTCTGCCGCGTACTTGTTTTCCAGTTGCGATATTGTGTGGTAGAATTTCGTTGAGTCTGCCGTTATGCCATTTAATTGGAATTGCGCTTCCAACTGTTTAAACCACACGGCTGGCTGTTCAGGCCAGAATGGCGGGACGCGGATACTAATCTTGTTGACCTGTGGTGTTACCGTCGGCTCGTCGTGCGTGGCCATTTCTCACAACACTTATTGCACAGATTGTCACTACTTTTACCTTTTCAACTCGCGTCCACGTCGGTGGTCACCAATGAAGGATGTGATTATATGCGAGTTCAATAAAGACACGAATGTACTTTAAAAGGTATTTTATTACTGTTATATGCGCGTGACTTAACCCTTTCACAGTGTGGTAAAATTACGAATTCTGGTCCAAAAAATGTCTAGTTTTTTCATGTTCGGAAATACTTCGGCCTGTAATAAAAAATGTAAAAAAACGTGCGTATCTATTTGTCTTGGTTTCAATCAAATGCAGTAAGTCCGGAGAGAAGAAATATTCAAAATAGCTTACAATTATTGTTAGTATATCGCCGCTGTCGTTTCTTACGTGAACGGACGGAGAACTGGTGAAATGCATTCTTGGTGGTGGAGGAGGCATATTATTTCCGTCAATTCTTGTAAAATTATATTCGAAATTATTGTCAATTGTGTTGTTCTGTCTTGCATTCTCTGATGAAGTTGAACTGTCATCGGTTGAGACCGGATTATCACTATCACTGGCATTTATGATTGACGAGTCACTACTATTACTACTATCTATGTTGGATAACAAAAATACAATTTTATATAATTCACAAAAACGATTTTTAGAACTGAAAAAGCACTAAACTCTGGTGCGAAGGATTGTGTGATTGGTTTCAAAGTCGACGGCATACTGAATTCAAAACTAAACCACGTCTCCTTCTTCATTTAAAATAATCTTAGAAAACAGAGGAAGCAAAGAATCTAGCCATATTCTTAGATATCTTTGGTAGACTAAACAGTTTGAACGCCTTACCCTGCCCGTGACTGTCACGGGATAAACCGTTTGGTACTTGACGCTCTGCCCGTGACTGTCACGGGATACACTGCCAATGGGTTAAATGTGACATATTGAAAAAAAGTTTTACACATAAAATGTGGAATATTGAGCAAAATTTTTGTACGTGAAATAAAAAACAAGTTCGATATGAAAGTTGAATATTTTATATTTAAAAATTGTTTCGATAAACCTCACTGCATTACCCTTTTCTTTCAATTCCAAACATTTTATATTTGAAAAAAGAGGGTCTCTGTGAATGTACGATTTATTGAATTTTTTTTGGAGAAATTGAATTAGTATAATTTGTCCGTTGTTCTTCGTAATAATTACTATGTTCTGGAAGCAACGTTGACTAAATTGTGTTTGATAGGGAATAATATAGAAACCTTAAATCATTTCATAACAAATCATTTCGAACGTGGAACAGTCGAGTTTGATCTTCGATCTTCGACCAATGGACATACCGCTCCACGATAAATCAATTCGTGCACAGATTTAGTTACATTCTGAGTATCGAATTACTTACTGTACCTTCAATATTTAACCATCGCAACGTTCACTTCGTAACAAATTAGTTTATACACAGATTTCGTTACATCCTGAATATCGAATGTCTTCGGTCACTTACCAAATTAAACGTACAATCGATGGACTTTCTGTGTGTCAATGAAACGAAAATCTACTTTTCGTTGCAATTAATTTTCTATTTCCTTGTTTTCCAGCATCGTTGATATTAGTCACCTAAGTAATAATTGAAGAGAACCTTCTAAAAATGTATGCACTGCTGGCCAAAAATTTGGAGCTAATGTGCATTGGAAGTTATTCAAAAATTTTCTGAAAAAAGTTGGTAACTTCGAGAATTTTTTCAAGTATTCATTGTTGCTCCAGGAAAATTGCTATTATTTCCAAACCCATAAAAATTAGCAGAAGATTCAATGTGTGTAGGTATATAAATTGATAAGTGGTGCAAAACATTTTTTTCGTCCTGTGGCGACCGCCACGGGGGTGCCACGCACTTAGGCCTGGCGACTCTTGGCCCTCGAGGCGAAGAATCGAGAGATGTTTTTCCAAACATCTCCGAGTTTCTTCGTCCTCGAGGACAAGAGTATTGCCTCGGAAATGCAGGCCCGCGCCCCCACTTCCTGGGATTTTCACAGGGAAAAGGGGCTACTTAAGGGAGCCCCGAAAAAGGCACGAGGCCTTTTGTCGTAGACCTTCTCTGCACGCGCATCATGTTCTTTACATTTGAAATTAGTTTAAGGATTATTGTGTAAATAAATATATTTTTGTTACCCACTTTGATGGTAATCATTTGCACCACGTCACTTCCAAAGTACTAATACATTATATAACTTCTTTTCTGAAATAGAAAAATGGAATTTTTTTATGTTTTCTTAAGCGAGCCGGATTAGGACGCAACGAAGTCTCGGTTCGGCGGATTATAGTAATAAACAACTTAACGCGACACTCATACAATTGGTCCCAAAAACACTCGGGACCATAAAACATTCGTTACCAGGGATCGAATTTGTTTACAACAGGGTCACAGTTTTCGTCGACCAATAGCAGAACACACCACATTTCCCACCTCCATAACACAACCACCAATCAGAACCAACCTAATGTCTATATATATACTTACACACCTGAAAACCGGCAATCACTGTAAGACGAGGGCACGAGACACAGTCACGAAGCGAAAAATCCAAATTCAGTGAAACATCTAAAAAACATCTAATCAAAACAAGAATTCATCAAAAGATCTACAACATATAATCAAACCAAGAATTCATCAATACATCAACAACATCTAACCACAGGACAAACATCTAAGCAAAGTAAAAAACAACTAACCCAACAACGAAGTTTTAATACACCTCGAACCAGCGAGAACAATCATCAACCCGGGCCAGAACTCCTAATTATAAGATTTGATCAAGGCCCACGACGCAACACAGCTGTATTTTTGCAGTGTTAAGAACTGTGCAATGTTTGAAATAAGTTACAGAAGATTAATCGTTACTACATTGTGTTTGAAATTTTACAATTTTATCTACAAATTGTACAAACTGCAAATTCGCGGTTAGAAGTGCAATTTAATCAGGACATTTGACAAAGCATATTCATGTAGGCGAATCCTGTTTTTACTACCTGGAAATAGACAAAACGATTAACTTTCTTTTCGTCCAAGGAAGAATAAATGACGCGTAAATAGAGGGAGCAAGATTAGTTTCACTTACATCGCCGAACGTGTAAAGCGACATATGTAATACTTTTCCAGCGGTGACTTTAACGACCACGTTCGATCGTTTAATGATCAGAATTAAATCGAGGATTCTTCTCTGTGGCAGATAATACCAATCTGTCATGTAAACCACTTCACCAACTTTCAAGCACTGTTAACAATTTCCTGGATTAGTCCTTGTTGTATGTTGTTTTCGATCATGCTAGATCGTTCGATCATGTTTTCAATGTTGCTAATCGTTAATTAATCTCTTGTACCTGTTCTGTCAGCCTTTCGCTGATATAACAGAGTATAAATGTATTAGAAACAATAGCAACGAGTGCTACAAAGTACGTGATTAAGATTTTAGCATCGCTCTCTGCCCATTCCTAGAAACAAGCACACATTTATACGTTCCGAAGAAATATTCAATTTTTTTTGTCATCGATGTTGTACGTAAGGAATTTTGTACTGTTGATGTTCACGCAATTATATCACATTTCGGCATGTTTAATAACTTAATACACAATCTTTAACACTTCTTTCGTGTAACACACGGCACACATCTCCTCTCTTTTGTTTAGTTAAATTCGCAGGAGTCACCTCCCCGCAGTCGGGGCCGAATGCGGACGCTTATGTGTGCGCTACTGTACTATGCAGAGATGAGAAAATGGTTAGGACGAGGTATAGTTGATGGAAACGATACAGTGAGGTCGTAAATTGAAACATTAAGTGGCGCTCAGGACGCTCGTCGCCTGCGCAATAATAATTCCCGTATCGATCAAAATTAACCTACAGCTGTTAGACAAATTTTTTAAATATACCGTAATGGAGTAGAACCGCCCTGAGCGAGGATCGAGCGTCTTATTTCCCTCGAATTGCTGTTTCGCATTTTCACACTTGCCTGATTATACGACATCGCTATATCGTTTCCACCGATCCTTTTGTTGAAATTGCCTTTGCGCGTGATATCATACGAAAAACTGAATATCTACATATAATTCTTATCCCCGTACGATCAAAATTACATCTACCATGAATATATAATATCCAAGTGCGCATACAGCTATCATGCACCTCATTAACTCCAGGAAACACGCTTTGTTCATCATTGCCTCTATGCGCGATATGAAGCTGTAATTAACAGAAACGATCAGAGAAACACACCCATCAGCAAAATCAAATCCAACAAACATACTTACTTCAACACTCTCAAATGTTCCTCCACGATTGTCGGTATTTCGTCGAAATGATCGTCCTTCCCTCTGCGTCTCGCTTCACTCACAAAATCTTCGATCGACAACATAACCACGCTCAACTGGCCAGACGCGTGTGATGTTAGAGCACTTGTAAGGCTTATAACACTGATCGCACTGTTGTTCGCTATAAATCCGGAGAGAAATTGTGACAAAACAACGATGTCGTTCATAGTATTCGTATCGACTGGAAGGAGCCCTTTGTACATTGGTAAGGGCAGCACGCGCAAGATCGTAGTCTTGTTTCCAACCACGACAACCATCGTGGTGGACGCTGTCATAACACAATATCCAAGTATACCACCGTGTATGAAGATCGTACAAGAAATCGCCGCGTATCGACTAAATTTCGCGTACTTCAACATGACTTCTTTCTTCTCCTTTCTCGTCGTCGTTCTCCAATCGGTCTCCATATGATTGAAAAAGTGACGTATGGTTTTACGTCGCAGCAACAGCATGGTGTAACTGATGATACAGAACACCCAGTGGCTCAACGAACCGAGTATTTTCACTTTCGTGTAGAAAGTCCCTTTTTCCAGCATTAGGTGCAACGAACAAGGGATTATCGAGAATAGTATTGCGGTGTAGCAGATCACGTTTAATATTCGAGAGATGTTTCTCTCGAGGTTCGACGAGAACTGTGGCCATGTGCCTATGCTTTTCATCGCCCATCGATTCCACTGGAGACTGTAATCGCTGCTGGCAGTTATATTGATTTCTGTGACCACGGTTTTGTCGTTACTCATCGTGACCACGCATCGAAGTTACGGTGACTACTAAATCGAACATCCTGTACGAGGAATTACCCTTCCACGGAGTCGTTTAACGCTTGCGCAGATTTTTTATCGGAACGACTGTTCGCTGATCGATTCATCTGTTTGTGTGGAACTTGTTGCGGTGATGTGTACGTGATCGAGTATGTTTGAAAGTTGTCATTTAACCGTCGTGAGAATTGGAAGGTGTGCACGGGATAGAGTAGACCTTCGTGAGAATTGGAAGGTGTGCGCGGGATAGAATAGACTTTCGTGATGTTCGCTTGAGTATTTTTTTTTACTCTCTAAGCGGAGGATGTGGGGAGGGATATTGCAAGGGTGAAGATCCCATTGCTGGTTGGGAAACATTTTTCAGGAGAGTGGTAATGAGAATGCTGTAGTAACGTGAACGGAACCATTTTTGTAGTAGTGTTATTTTATTAGGTCATCCGGTAAGTGTCTGTCGAATTTTATGATTTAGATCGATATTTCCGAGGGACCTTTAAATTAGATGAAAACTTCTCATTCCACAATTTTGTCCTTTGTTTGTTTGGTCAGACTGTTATGTCGTTTCTACGGCATTTTCTTGGAAAATATTTTTCACTTTCGGTAGGAACTTGTGGGACGATTCAGTTTTATTAATTTTGCGATTTTTTTGCTGTATTGTGAACTCTATAGGTTCGAATTAGGGGCGATTAGCTGGATTAAGAGTAGCAGTGACAAGTGTGGAATGGATGATTGGATGTTGGTGAAATTTGTGGAAGGAAAGTGAACTATATGGATGCGCGAACGTTTATGTTAGGAAGGCTAGATTGTTCATAAGGGTGGAATTTATCCTTTTGAGTGCTATGGACGCATATGTGCGTCCGGCGAAAGCTATCGCTGTGGACTATGGACGCATATATGCGTTTGTCAATTTTTTCGATCTCCCGTGTAGTGTAGTTACAATTATCTTTATACGAGATGGATATACATATGTGTTCCTTTGCTACCTATGAAGAATGCATGTGTGTTGTTTAATTTGGTGTAAAAGAATTACAATAATAACTTATTGTTAGTTGCGCCTTGTGCACTCAATCAACAGAGTTCACACTAGCAGAAAAGTATTCCGTCCATACGGAGAGCTTCGGCAGGGAGTATTCAGCACTCAAGGGTTAACCCTTTTGTGAATTTTACAGTTCTAGTATATCACCGTGCAAATGAATTTTTATCTGTGAAAGTTACTCTTACGAATAATTGTTACCCCTATTATACTCAAGAGGGTTGTAGCTTTAAAGGTAATATTTTTTAATGCAACAGGTTGTTCGTCTAATCGTATACGAAAAGTTTGGTGCGGTGGACGCAGGTGAAAAGTTTAGACTGTAAAGTTCAGAGGCTAAGAGACACGCTGCTTGTGAACGAATTACATAGTGGTGAGTAACAACAAACATTTATTCTTTCTCGTCTCTTTGTTTTCTGGTGTGTAAAGAGTCTAGAATAGGAGTTCGTACAAAATGGTATTTTTTTCGAGTATGCGTAGTTTTTCACATTGCAACTGTGCGGATCATGTTGAAGTAGGCGAAAGACGCCTTAAATACCTGAAAGACGGTGTGCGTAAATGTGTTTAATCGAAAGTTGCGAATTGTAAATTTGTCTTATTAATACTCACATCGCCAAATGTTGCGACAGACATTTGTAGGAATTTTCCAGCGGTGATTTTTATCACCATGCTCGACCTGGAGATGATCATTACCAAACCGAGAGCAGTTTTATGAGGTAACCGGTACCATTCGGTCATGTACACTTTTTCTCCGACTTTGGTACACTGTTGAGTGTTCGATGCTTACACAATTAATATATGTATGTATAATTGTACTTTGGTCACTTTCATGATCCTACCTGCTCTGTAAGCGTCTCTCCGATGTAACAAAATATGAATATATTAAATGTCATGGACACGTACACGATGACGTATGAAGCTAATTTTTCCTTCGACTTTTCCTGAGAAGTTAAAATACATTTGCATAAAGAGTTACGCGAAAATTCGATGAAAATTTCAGTGTACCGATCCCATGTACTTTGTTCGTTAACATTGATATTAACTGCAAGACTTAATAAGAACAAGAAATACTTTCTAAAGTATTTAAATTAGTTTGATTAAATTCGAAGAATTTTATTAGTAAAACGTACCGTGAGTAAATAATACTCGAGCATGCACATGTTCAACGTGCATCCTACCAACTCAACCAGGCATATTAGGTTCATAACGTTCTCTATATTCCGTATAAAACTGAAAGTAACATTTCCATGTAGATAGCCGTAAACTTGCCACTTTGCATATTTCGAAAAATCATGAAAAACTATATTCTCGATAATATTACAAATAGTACGGTGCGGAGCTGAAAAGTTGGCCTGTAGAATGGCACAGGTGCAAGAGGAGTGTTCCTCTCGCTCCACTTCGATGTCAGAGCCGCCATCTTAATCCTTTCACTGCGTCAGATTTTAGTATGTAACGCGCGTGGCAGACGATAGATGTTGAATCGCGGCTGTAAAATCTTGTGTTTTGGCGTTTTTCAATTTTTCAGAAATTTTAAAATTTGTCCTTGAAAAAATTTAGGTGACGGTACTTAAAAGACAAAAAGTAAGGATTAAGTTAAGGTGAAAATGCGCCAGAAAGTATTAACATTTCACAGCACGGGTAAATATTCAAAACGCCTATAGGCGCGAAGGGCACAGCGCGAGAAAATATTCAAAACGCCTATAGGCGCCAAGGTCACAGCGCGAGAAAATATTCAAAACGCCTATAGGCGCGAAGGGCACAGCGCGAGAAAATATTCAAAACGCCTATAGGCGCGAAGGGCACAGCGCAAGAAAATATTCAAAACGCCTATAAGCGCCAAGGTCACAGCGCGAGAAAATATTCAAAACGCCTATAGGCGCGAAGGGCACAGCGCAAGAAAATATTCAAAACGCCTATAAGCGCCAAGGTCACAGCGCGAGAAAATATTCAAAACGCCTATAGGCGCGAAGGGCACAGCGCAAGAAAATATTCAAAACGCCTATAGGCGCGAAGGGCACAGCGCGAGAAAATATTCAAAACGCCTATAGGCGCCAAGGTCACAGCGCGAGAAAATATTCAAAACGCCTATAGGCGCGAAGGGCACAGCGCGAGAAAATATTCAAAACGCCTATAGGCGCGAAGGGCACAGCGCAAGAAAATATTCAAAACGTCTATAAGCGCCAAGGTCACAGCGCGAGAAAATATTCAAAACGCCTATAGGCGCCAATTTTCTATTCAAATATTTTTTATAAGAGTCAACCGCAGTGAAACGATTAAGGTTTCTACTGTCCACGCTGTCATAGCAGTACGATTTCCATATCTGGTGGCATATATTTCAAAATGGGGGATACTCTCTGAATCTACGTTTACGACAATGTTCTAAAATTCATCTCTCTATCCCACTCAATTTCACTCAGATTGGTAGATACGACCGGTTTGGCCAATAACCAAGAATATAATTCCCTCCACACGCCAACTTCTCACAACTCTTCACTTCAGCTCTGCACAGTATTGCACATTGAAACTACAACGCACAGACAAATACCTTAATGTACGCAAATGATGCTCCACGATGAAACCTAACTTCCTCTGCGCGACTCTCTCCTCCTGCCCTTTCGCGTCCACCAAATCGTCCAATTTCGACATCACCACGTTCAGCTGTCCGCACGCGTGCATCGCTAGAACAGCGCCTAAACCGCAGGCTCCCACAGTAACGGAGTTCACGATGAACCCGGAGAGACACTGTAGAACGAACATTATCTCGTTCGTCGGACTGAATCTGGTGTCCATCAGCTTCGTGTAGAACGTGCAAGGTAACGGGTACATCGAGTAACTCTCGTTCCCCACGTAGAACGTGCTCATACGAAGTCCTGTGACTATTTCGTCGGAGCCGACACCGGTGTGCATGCAAAACGCAGCGATGCAAGCTATCGAACGTCCAAGTTTCGCGTTCTTCAACATCAGATCACGATGGACGGGTTTCTTAACGTTTCGCCAGTCCTGTTTCACCTGTTCCACGCAATAGAGGATGTCGTTCGCCTTTGCCAACAAGCAGCAATAATTCAATTCACCCATCAGAAAGTGACTCATAGGACCGATAGACTTCATCCTTTCCTCTAGGCTCGTGTCTTCGAACAGGATGAACAGAATGCACGGTACGATCGAGGAGATCATCAGAGAATGACAGGTGAGTCTCAACAGTTTCGCGAGTAGTTGCTGGGCTCTCGAGGTCTCTGTAACACGCGGCCATGCGCCCATCGGTGTCAGAAACCAACGGTTCACCTGGATGCTGTACTCGTAGTCTCGCGTAGCGTTCAACGTGTCGCGGGACGAGTCCAGCATGATTACCTCGCCAGTGACCTGTATTGAGTGACACGCGACGGTCGGACTGGGCTGATGCTATAGGTGAATGCTGGCGCGTGCGCCAATTTTTTTTTTCCTAGATACGACGAAACTGTTTCGCAGCTGTACTTTAGTGCACGATGATTAATGAATGGCCCTCCGTGGGAAGCAAAGGGGTTTAAAGTTGTTCGATGCTTCTGAGAGTTGCGACTTTTTTTTGGGTTTGAACGAAAAAAGATTGTCTGGAAGGCGGGCCGATATTTTTTGTGGCAGTTTTTTCGGTGAGCGAGTGCATTTGATAATTGCTTGTTTTTCGACGCGATTCTTAAACTTTATTCATTTCAGAGTATCGCGTCTCTCGCACGCCAAATTAATATTGTGTGAGTGTTTCAATGTCTGAGTGATGGTGTGACGTGAACTGTGGTGCTGATCTTTTGGAAACTTTTTTGACATAGCAAGCGCGCTGTGCCTTTCGTACAGTTTTATCTGAAAACTATCGCGAGGAGGTGGCCTATGAGGACGAATAGGAGTCCTTCCTCGTCCTCGGCTGTCCACCGGGAGTCCCTACTCCCTGATTTTCCCTCGTCGATAGGGTGGGGGTGTGAGACCCTGCGGAAGATCAGTCCAAACGGGACTGATCTGTATGCGTGTGTGTATGGGTGAAGTGGCTTTACGACACGTCAGTTACTATTGAAGAAAATGTACGGGCGCCAGGAAGGCGTATGGCACGCACAAGCGTCGAGTTTCTGCGTCCATAAACACTTTCTGGTCCTCGACATCGCTTCGAACGGAAAAGTAAACACAAAAGAATTGAAATTAGAAGCCCTCAAAAATAGCAGGCTTGGTCGTCCGTGTCATAAAGTCAACGGTTGCGTCTGCGACGCAACAGCTGGAAAGGGTTGAGAGAAGGTTGATTTTACGGTGAGTGTTAACATTTGTGAATGTGATTTTTTTAAATTATCGTTCGAACTTGGTGTTCTGTAATCGATGCTTCTAACTGTCGCACGTAATTTTTTTGTGTTTTAACAAAAAAAGATTGTCTGGAAGATGTGTTAATATTTTTTCGCGCGAGTTCCTTCGGTGAGCAAGTGCATTTGATAACTGCCGGAGAAGGTCTTAACGCTTATAAGTGTGATTTTTTTCAAATATTTGTAGGACACACTTTTAAAAAAACAAGACACAGTGTAGGCAGTTAACCAAATGTATTATATTTTGCAATATCCGCGGTTGCTAAGATGGCTCGGGTGTCCGTCTCGCTCGACGGCTATAACCAAAGTTCCCTCTCCCGCGTCCTATCCTGCATTGCTCCGAGAAACCGTTGGAGCCTCCTAGCCCGACTGTCCTGGGAAAGGACTTAATTTACGGCACCCTCAAGCTTCCGCGCGCTTTTCCTTCCGGTGACCCTGGGTGACGAAAACCAGGCCACCAGTTTGCCGCTTAAATCTCGCATTCCTTACATATTTCTCCGAATTTGGTGTTCTGGAATTGATTCTTTTACGAGTTGCACGTTTTTCAGGTTTAAACGAAGCAATAAAGTTTTCTGGAAGATGTGTTAATATTTTTCGATGGGATTTTCTTCGGTGAGCAGGTGCATTTGATAGCTGCTGTAAGGACGTAAACGAAGGTTGGTTTTACGGTGAGTATTAACATTTATAAGTGTGATTTTTTAAAAATTACCGTTCAAACTTAGTGTTTTTTATTAAATCTAGTTTTTATTAGTATCTAGGATCGGTAATGTCGTTAAGATTAGGATAACGAAATCTCTCACCGTGTACCAAACATCAATTTCATTAAATCTCAAATACAACAGAACAAACGATGTTTCTAGGAGCGGTGTAGAGACCGTGAAAGACAACAAATATCTAGAACGTACTATACTATGAAGAATGTTCACGTCAGTGTTCGTAGCATGTTTAAGAAACCCATGGACGTTTTAACGACCTATTTATACCAACATTATTCCAGTTAATTTCGATGGATTCGTGTAAACAGAGAATATGATACTTACGTCGCTGAAAGTGTTTACGGATAATTCAACCATGTTTCCTGCTGTAAATTTCGTCGAGCAATTGGACATGGCGATGATCAAAATGCAACAGAGCTTCTTGTTTCCGGTTAATCGGTACCATTCGATCATGTACGACTTTTCGCCGACTTTTCTGCACTGTAAGGAAGCATTTTTTTAAATTTTTATTAGTTTTTGTTTAACAAGTGAAACTTTTATTTAAAAAAAGAAAATGAAAAGTGGTACAGTGAATTCCGGTTAATTGGGACGCCGGTTAAGCGGGACCGCCGTTTATTTGGGACAGATACCGAAGAACGGAATATAAATACGTGTTTATTTACTTATTTTTCATTACTTATTAATGTTACTTTATTACTTATTATTTATTTATTATTTATTATCGGACTCAGAGGAAACGTCTTTACTGTTTGAAATGTTCCAACGGACTGTGACTGGGCACCCAAAAAGAAAGTTGGGGTCCGCTTACACTGTCCGACAAACCTAAAGTGAAGCCTCTGACGTCACACAGGGCCTAAAAGTGGGAGATGTAGGGGACCTTGCGACGGCTCGCTGTTGGTAAGCCAATAGGGATAGAATAAGGCTATCGCATTGCACCTACTGTCCGACAAACCTAAAGTGAAGCCTCTGACGTCACACAGGGCCTAAAGATGGGAGATGTAGGGGAACTTGCGAATGATATTTTCAAGCGCTCGAAAAAAAATTAAGTTTACGTCGCGCAGACACCATAAACAGGCGAACAGATGCCTGCGCGGCGCCAAACGACGTGCATCATGGTAAACTTTATTTTTTTATCCCATGTTCCCAAAATTTCTCTATTATTTCGATAAGCTTATTTTACAGGTTAAAATTCAAGCAATTCAATGGTATTTTTTCAAAATTATTCTACGAATGGGAACAGTGTCAAATTGAAACTTTATCAGCGATTATTGCTATGTTTATTGCTATGAAATGAGCTCAAGGTCGAAATATTATCTTTAAACAAAGCCGAACATTACGGTTAAAGTGACGACATGTCGTCTGATGAATTTGAAATTTTTCAAAATTTTGACATTAAATAGCGGCTGTTTGATGGCTTTTATTGGCTGGTTTTAAAATGTGACTGTCGGTCTGTGGTGGCACGATATTTTTCATTGCAGCCAGAAATTTTTTAGCTCCTTGAGCAATTTTTTAATGCGCCGAAATCTACTTTTATTATTCAGGAATAGCAAAAAAATATTTTCTTCTTAGTTTTCTAACTGTTGAAAAATATTAATACTTTTCCTGAGGCTTCCTTTACAATAACAATTTATCGTGTATGAGTCGCTTAGAAATTAACATCTGAGCTATTAAATATGTCTAACGCGCCAACGTAGGTAAGAAGACAAGGCGACCAAATAATTTTTAGTTTTCCGTTCTTTTATCAGCGTGTTACATTATCGACAGCTGACTTAAATTCGTTTGTCTAAACCAGAGGCGCTTAACTTCTTGCTCACGAGCAAATTTCTCCTCCCGAGGTTCCCCCACTATGCGGTACGAACACGCAGAATGTGTAACATAAACCAATGGCAGTCGCTGGACTAAACCATTTACTTACGACGCAACTTCCCCTCAAGCGCCAGCAGTGTAAGACCCAAGTGGGGATGACCTGAACCGCCTATTTTGCCTCCATTTTGCTAAGCTGTGACGTCAGAGGCTTCACTTTAGGTTTGTCGGACAGTACCTAGGAACTGTTTACTTTATGGTATCGCAGTGTGCAGACTCGAAGACGAACACCAGACACATCTGGTGGAAGTCTTATTGCCTTTGTCCAAAAGAACATCGAGACATTTTTGTCCTCGCTTGATTATTTCTGCAGGGTGTTGTTAGAAATAATCCAACAATTTTCAATAAATCGTTTTTGGCTTCATTTTTTATGTTGTTCAGATTTTGCCTGTTGAAATTCGCTTTTCTGGGACAGCCGCTTAATTGGGACAAATTAGTCCAGTCCCAATGTGTCCCAATTAACCGGAATCCACTGTATATTGAAAATAATTGCGGTAGATTCTTACGTGTTCGGCAACAATTTCTCCTATATAACAAAATATGAAAATATTGAAGGTAAAGGATAAAAGTAACGCTGAGTAAGTTACAGCAAATGTTAACTCTTTCGGATTCCATTCCTATGACATCGTGAAAATGCAAATTCCGCTGCAACATCGTTACGTTAACTTTGTTTTTTTATTCGTGCGTACCGTTATGATGTAATACTCGATGAGGCACAGAATTATTGTACACCCTAAAAATTCTACGAAAGCTATTTGCTGCATGGTTTTCTCTATGAGGGCCAGAAAGCTGAAACGTGACAGAATACATATAACTTACTCAGTGTTAACAATATGCTCGGTACAACTTCGAAGGTAATTTTTCAATTTTACATTTTAATTTTAATTTTCACATTTAAATTTTCAAATTGATTTAAATTTCACACTTAAATTTTCAAATTGATTCAAATTTCACATTTAAATTTTAAATTGATTAAAATTTCACATTTAAATTTTCAAATTAATTCAAATGTCACGTTTAAATTTGCAAATTTTGAACATTTAAATTGAACGTGTTACTTCAGATTGTTCCTTTCAGATTTCCTCTAACGCGAATTCATACAACGCGTTATAAGCTAGTCTGCTGTATTGATTAAAATTCAAGAGAAATTAATCACGATACAACAAATAGATACACGTTACACACTTCAATATTCGAACGTGGTGAGTGACGATGCTAGCGATTCTATCATCCAGTGTTTTGCTCATATCCGCTCTGCCGTCGATCAAATGTCCCAGCCAGGACACCAACACCTCCATCTGACCGCAAGCATGAACCGCAAGCAGGGCTGCCATACTGCAAGCAGCTGACGTGACACCGTGCAACACGATACCTGTTACAAATTGTACCGAAAAGAAGATCTCGTTGAAAGGGCTGTAACGAACGTCAGCGATGATTTTTGGAAACGGAAACGGCATCTGAATGTAACTGTGGTTTCCGTCCTCCGTTGCAACACTTCCGGCGTTGATAGGTACGACGATGTAGAAAAATACGAAACTACTGAAGACGAAAAACGTGCAAATAGTGATCAATTTTCTTCCGTAATACGCGTACGTCACCATCACGTTTCTGTCCTCCAGGTATCTGATATTCTTCCAGTCCCATTTGATCCGTTCGACGCACTCGAGAATGTCGTCCTCGTGGAACGTCAACATGGAGTACTTGAGGAGGGACATCGCGAAGAAGGACATCGGACCGATCATTTTCAGCGTGTTGTAAGCGCCTTTCACCTCTAGAACCACGTACAAGCCGCTCGAGACCAACTCGAAGCTCATCAGCGCGTAACAGAGGAAACCCATCAACCAGGAGAAACATCTTCCTATTCGAGAGCTTTTGCGCGACGACGGCCAGATACCGAGTGGTTTCAACAGCCAACGATTCAACTGTATGCTCAGGTTCAAGTATTCCTGATAGTCGTTCTCTGTCGCGAGAGACGCGAGGTTCGCCGATCGCTGTTTTTTCATGGTTTCACGCTCGACAGTCTGGCTGATACTAAATGTAGCTAGCTCGATGACGGCTCCGGGGATGAAATGAAATGTTGCGCTTGCGCCACTATTTTTTACCACAATTTCTCCTCGCGCGAAGGGATCGAGAGGAGAAAAAATATGCTTTCCCAAGTTTCGTCTCCCCCTATTTCAAACTTTGCTGCTTTATATGCATTATAAGTGCAGACAAGGGATGATGGCAGTTGGAAATCGATAAATTGATTTTTTTTGCAAACGTCAGCGTAACATGATTATCTACATTGTGACAGGTTGCCGGGGAGCAATTTGTGAAGGGTTAATCGTAATTTTGCACGTTTTTCTTTTAGAGGTACGTACTTTTTGTTTATATTTATGGGGTGATATTGGTAAAAATGTTTTTAAGCGGAACGATAGTGTTGTACTGTATTGCAACTTACGGGGGTTCAGAAATATTTTTTTCTAGATAACTATTGAGAAATGTAAGAAAGATTCAAACCATCGTATCTCTGTTTCTAATTAAAATAGCGACAGAAACTAAAAGGTGTTTTACACGTTATCTGCAGACGAACCCAACGCACCCCTGAAATTATTCATAAGGTGAACGGAGAAGTGCATACCGGGTGATTCGAAAAGTTCGTAACGAAATGTAAGAAAAATTCAAACTGATATATCTCTGTTTCTAATCGAGATAGCGACAAAAACCAAAAGGTACTTTTGCTCGTTATTCGAAGATAAATCCGACGTACCCCTGAAATTACTCCCAGGGCGAACTATATTTTCTGCGGTGGAGCGTTGACACGAAAAATTCAACGTCCACGTTCCACTGCAGAAAACATAGTTCGATTTATATCCACCCTTGTTCATCTTACGAATAATTCGAGTAGAGCGTTGGATTCACTTTTAACTGTTGAAGAAAATATCGTTTAACTTTTATCACTGCGTCAATTAGAAACGGAGATACGACAGTTGAAATTTCGCTACGAACTTTCCGAACAACTCAATATATAAATAGTTATTGTAGTATCGAGGCCTCCATACCTAAGTAGGAAACTATGGCGTGTGCGCAAAGCCTCGGCTTGCTAAGCCGAAGGTTCCGGGTTCGATTCCCCGTTGTTGGGTCCCTCAATATTTTTCCGTCGTTGGTTCCTACAAATGGTTGGGGGCTCGTTCAGGATGGAGGCTTCTATGGCTACACGAAGCCAGGCGCTGTGAGATGAAAACATCTCGAGGGTTGCACGTCTCCCAAATTGCGTCGTTTCGGCTGTGTGCCACTGTGTGGAGGAGTGTGCCCGAAAGTTGTTGGAGGTGTTGAACTTTAGGACATTTGAGGGCGAATGTCAGTTCAGAATGGCAGAGTGTTGTAGTATCGGGGCCTCCATACCCAAAAATAGGAGACCGACACGGGAGAATAGAGAGGGAGTGGTTGGCGTAGCGCGCAAAGCCTCGGCTTGCTAAGGCGGAAGGTCCCTCAATATTTTTCCGTCGTTAGTTCCTTCAAATGGTTGGGGGCTCGTCCGGGATGGAGGCATCTACGGCTACACGAAGCCAGGAGATGTGGGATGAAAACATGTCGAGGGCATGGGGGCTCGTCCGGGATGGAGGCATCTACGGCTACACGAAGCCAGGAGATGTGGGATGAAAATATGTCGAGGGTTTGCACGTCTCCCAAAAATGCGTTGTTTCGGCTGTGTGCCACTGTGTGGGGGAGTGTGCCCGAAAGTGTTGAGTTGTTGAACTTAGGTCATTCGAGGGCGAATGTCAGTTCAGGATGGGCGAGTGTAGTATCGGGGCCTCCATACTAAAATAGGGAAACCGACAAGGGAGAATAGAGAGGGAGTGGTTGCCTCGGCTTGCTAAGCCGAAGGTTCCGGGTTCGATGCCCGTTGGGTCCCTCAATATTTTTCCCTAGGTTCCTGCATTATTATCGTCGAGGCAGCGAAAGGTTTGAGCGACTTTCGAGTCGGCGAGAGAAAGAATTTTACGAAAGAAAAATTGATAGATATGAATATATAACAAGTTAAACTGGTTTTATTGTAATATGAGCACAATAGACTATACAATTGCGTTGTATTATACCTCGAGGAATTTTTAAGTCAATGTTCGTAACACGTTCAAAAATGCGACAGCTGTCTTGACAACCTAATTTACACAAGAAACGAGTTTTAAACAGTTCTTTGACTATAGTGACGGTGATTGTGATACTTACGTCACCGAAAGTGGTTAGACACAGTTCGACCATGTTTCCCGCTGTCAATTTTATCGAAGAATTGGACATCGCGATTATCAGAATGCAGCATAGTTTCTTATTTCCAGTCAACCGATACCAGTCGATCATGTACGACACTTGTCCAATTTTTTCACACTGAGGAAAAAATAGCGATAAAAAATAGTGGTAGTGGTGAAGAATAATTTTAAAAAATTTTTCACCTGTTCAGCTACCAGCTCTCCTATGTAACAAAATATAAAAATATTGAAAGTAAGAGACATGAGTAGTATGAAGTAAGTCACCGCGCTAGTTAAATGACTCGAACTCCACTCCTGAAATTGATTTCGATTTTTAGGCGAAATTTTTATAGAAACATTTCATTTCTGTAATTTCGAATACGTGATTTTCTTTCGTACCACAATAACGTAATACCCGAGAAGACATATGTTCAACATGCAGCCTAGAAATTCCACGAACGATACTTGTTGCAGTGCTTTCTCTGTGTGCGTTAAAAATCTGCAACATTTCGAACGTAAATCGCCTGGCACACTCTTCAAAATTTTAAATATGAAATAAAAAATAGAAGAACTGAAATGTTAATCCTTTTGATTAAGTTAAAAGAGTTAACTTCGATGGTTAACCGAATTAAGTTAAAAAATTTCAATTTCAAATAGAAAGTTTTCTTTTTTTTTTTTTGCATTAACCCCTTCGCTATGGAGGGAATATATATACGCTCTGTGAAAATGGTCATTCATTTACGGAAGGCGTATATATACGTGTAGTACATATTATCACATTTATTTTTGCACTTCGCAAATGAGATATCGTTATCGACTGAAAATCACCAAATGATTTCTCTATCGTGAAACTGTCGGCTTTCAATAATAATTATCCTTATTTTAATATTGTAGAATCGAAGGCTCTGTATCCATCAAAAGGAGTAATAACAACGATGAAGTGTGAAGAGTGCCTTGGCTGCGGGTGCAGAGTGCCAGCCTGCCAATCGAAGGGTCGTGGGTTCGATTCCCACTTGGTCCCAACAAATTTTTCCTTGGTTCCTACAGTATTGTATAGTCGGTGGAAGAAGAAATATTATATCGTAAATTAAAAAGCGTTAATAAAGAGAGAGAGTTAGCGTTGTTCAAATTTGTCTGCGGAAGACCCCCAACTCCATCCATCTGCCGTTTCCACGGTAAAAGGATACCGCCGCTGAAGACACAGTAATAAACCAATGAATGTGGTTGGCGGTCGCTTCCCGTGTAAAGAATAATAGCACGTCGCCTGTTGCTTTACGTCTGTCGATTTCCTCGACAACAAAGTTGCGCGAAAGAACGATTCAAAGGGGAAACAGAACACGTGAGGGGCTCCTACTGTGGACTGTAGAGGCAACAAATTAATACAGTATTGACACACATATGTTGGATGTAACATTTTTCATTCTTGGTTTAGAACCGAATCAATGTTAAGGCATACTTCAATCGGCCCTGACTGAGATTTTCAGTCTCTTTTAGACTTCCGACCGATTTCACGATCTCCCTATATTTCTTCCATCGACTATACCTACGAAAAATATTCCCAAACTCTACCCACTTTCAAGCGCCACAGGATAGTGCGACAGAAAGTGTTTCATATATCAACATTGAATAGGATACCCCATTCCTCTCAAATACACCGCAGCGAAAGGGTTAACACATTAAGGACCGGTAAGAAATCTATAAGACATATGCCTAGGACCGCACTAAAATCCTCATTACTTTTTTATTTGCGAAGCAATTTTTGCGAAACTTTCAGAAATTGTAAAATAGGATGCATCTTAGGTATTATTGAAAAAAAATTATGTTTTTTAATAATTATTATAACTTTTTTACTTGAAAAATAAATTTTTACGAAATTTTTAGAAATTGTAAAATAGGATGTATTTTAGGCAATTATTAAAAAAAATTGGTTTTTAATAATTATCATAAAATTTTATTTAAAAATCAATTTTACCAAAGTTTCTAGTACTTTTTTAAAGTATGATATTGCGTGAAAGATTTTTCTCTATGAAGAGGAACCATACAAAATTTACATATATATCTTGATTCGCTTCGAAGACGAAGACTATTCGAATCACCAAAATGCAATGCAACGTGTCGAATTTTCTCTGAGACTAAGCTGTTTTTATTTCGGGTTCGTGCATTTATACAGTCTTTCATAGCTTGACCTGTACGGTTTCCACCAATGGGATTGATCTCTTCGGTGTGGATGAGACGAAAACGGTTAATACATTGACTATTGATGTAAACACTTAAATGGACAAAGTAGATACAATGTATCAAAGTAATTGACATCTAAAGACAACGTGTAGAAAACACGGGTTTGTCTCGTGATCCGTCCGTAACAGACGGGGCGCGCAGCACGAGAAAACTCGTGAGCGGTCCGTGACAGATGGGGCGCGAAACACGAGAAAACTCGTGAGCGGTCCTTAATGTGTTAACACGAACTATAATCCAACGAAAAAATTCCCACGGCCGATACAACGTACATACTGCAATATTCGAACGTGTTGATTCACAATCTTCGCTATTCTCCTATCCACGTTGTTACACATATCCGCCCGGCCGTTGATCAAATGTTTCAGCCAGCTCATCAACACTTGCATCTGACCGCAAGCGTGCACAGCAAACATAGCAACCAAACTGCAAGCTGCCGATGTAATACTGTGCATCAAAGCACCCGCCATAATTTGAAGCGAGAACAGAATCTCGTTTACAGGACTGTACCGAGTATCGACGATAAATCTCGAGAAAGGAAACACCATTGGAATAAAAGTTACATTCACATCCTGCGCAGGAATTTTACCCACGCTAAACGGTATGGCTATGTAATAAAAAACGAAACCACTGTACATGAAAAATGTGCAGATCATGATCAATCGCCTGCCAAAAATCGCGTTCTCTATCATTATATCCTTATCCTTGGAGTAAGTGATATTCTTCCAATCCCATTCGATGCGCTCGATGCACTCACGGATGTCGTTCTCGTAAAGTATCAACAGATGATACTTTAGAAATGCCATCACGCAGAAACTCAACGGACCCAACAATTTGATTCTATTGTAGACATCTTCTACTTCGAGGATCACGTAAAGGCTGCAAGGTACCAAGAGGAACGTGATCAGGCTGTAACAAACGACGTTTATCAGCCAGTAGAGGTATCTCTCTACCGTGGAAATGTTGGCTGAATTTGGCCAAACACCGATCGGCTTCAAGATCCAACGGCTCAATTGCACGCTCAATTTCACGTTCGTCTTGTAATCGTATTCAACACGAGTCGAAGACAGACTGTCTGTTACTGGTTTCTGCATCGTTGACACTCGAATGCTCGATTGATACTAAAAGCTTTGCAACCATTATGACGACTCGACGGAGAAGAACGTCGCGCTTGCGCTCATTTTTCGCGATTTCAACGTGTTTTCTTCTTCCGGCGGCGAGTTCAACCCTCTCCCTCGGTTGCAATTCTTCCTTCAATACGTTATGAGCGCGGATAATGACAGAGGAACATCGATACATTGATTTTTTAAAAGGCAGAAATGAGCGAATGTCGGGTTGATTCGAGCGGTTCGACGAAGCAATTTGACGATGTTTAATTAGGGGTTTTTGTGAGGTTTGTGTATAAAATTGCAGGATGCGTGTTTGATTGTTCGAGGAGAATGAGAAATTGAATTGGAGCTTGAAATATTGTAATGTCAGATCACTGAAAGTTTTTAAGGTTTTAAGCGGTTCGTTTTGAAGAAATGTAACTTTATTGAAATTAGACATTTTTATTTAAAATAATTTCCATATTGCTCAATAAACTTTTGTCGAAGTATTGCGGGGGGTGATCGAGGAGATGCATTTGCGCTTTTAAAGTGTATTGAACACTATGAAATTATTTTTTATGAAATTATTGTTTTCATGAAATTAATTTTTACGAAATTATTATTTTGAAAAGTTTCTAAGGTTTTAAGCGGTTCGTTTTGAAGAAATGTAACTTTATTGAAATTAGACATTTTTATTTAAAATAATTTCTATATTGTTCGGTAAACTTTTGTCGAAGTATTGCGGGGGGAGATCGAGGAGATGCATTTGCGCTTTTAAAGTGTATTGAACACTATGAAATTATTTTTCATGAAATTAATTTTTACGAAATTATTATTTTGAAAAGTGTTTAATTACACTGGAGTTACCTTTTTCTCAAAACGAACGACTTCAAATCACGGGAACTTTCAAGCTTACCTAAAATTATCCCTAATAGTTTAAAAAATAATTTAACGATACTTACTGTGAGATTACGGTGTGATTTCAATATAGCGATCACGTTCAAAAATGTTTCTGAAAATCTCGTATCAAAAAGTAGTACACTCGTGGTGTGCTTCAGTCGATTTTTCAATTCGATCGTGCCACAGTCGATCAGCCTAATTACCACGAATACACGAACATACACTACCGGCCAAAAGTTTCGAATCACCTCCCACTTTTCATCGATATTAAATCTGCTGCCAACTTTTCATAGATTTGAAGTTTATCTCAATTCTACATTTATCAATTTATCTCACATCGATTGATTCGAACGATAAAAAATTCTCAAGGTCGCTGACTTTTTTCTGGAAATTTTTGTGTAAATTGGTGATTCCAAACTTTTGGCCGGTAGTGCAAGCTAAACACGGTGTTACATTTCCTTTGTATTCTCTAAAATGTTATAAAACGTGCTGGTTCAACATTGTTACAAACAGTGAAGAAATTTGTGTAACAATCGTTCTTTGTTAAAAAAACATCGTCTGTTTCCTTAGTATACACAGACACATCAGCGGTTGTACAATAAAACACGTTCAAGTCAATGTTCGTAGTACATTCAGAAACGTGACTGCAGTCTTAACGACCTGTTCACGACGAGGAAAAAAGAAAGAGGAATTTTGTCGTTAATTCGCCAGAGATGGAAATGTAGATTTGAATAATTTGATACTCACGTCGGTAAAAGTGCTGATAGACAATTCGACCATATTTCCGGCTGTCAATTTTATCGAGGAATTCGACATAGCGATTGTCAAAACGCTCCAGAGCTTTTTCTTTCCTGTCAATCGGTACCATTCGATCATGTACGACATTTCTCCAATTTTCCTACACTATCAGAATTCATTTTTTTGCAATTACAACTTTTTATTCGATAATTTTTGCAATTTTGAAAAATGTTTCTACCTGTTCAGCAACGATCTCTCCTATGTAGCAAAATATGAAAATGTTGAAAGTGAGGGATATAAGTAGAATGATGTATGTCACTGCACTCGTTACATCATTCGATTTCCATTCCTATTGATATTCAAATTTATACAAATTAACGTAAATATATTTTCTAGGAGGAAAAAATGATCGTGAATCATTGTACCACGATAATGTAATATCCAACGAGACATATGTCCATGGTGCATCCTAGAAATTCAGCGAAAGAGATTTGCTGGAGGGTTCTCTCTGTGAGCGTCAAAAATCTGAAATACCGTCGAAATGCTTTTTCCCTGAACCACCCAAGATATGTTGAAACGAATAATGCAAGTATAGTAAGTAAAGAATCTTTGCTGTTACTCGTTTTTATCGTTTTAAAGTGTTCTTTTAAGGGAGATCGGCACCTCGAGGTGCCTGAAAATGGGTAAAAGTTTAAAAATTTTTTCGCGGGTAATTAGTAAGTGGAAAGTCTCCATTTTTTTTTTGGAGTATATAAAGGTAGGTTTCAGGTTTTTTCTGCAATTTTTTGAATTAAAAATGTTGCAAAATGGAGGAGATATGGTGAAACCTCTTCTGTTGGAACATAGATTGATGGCCGCGATTGCTGGCAAGGATTGGAACGTCTGAAATAAAAATTTCGTTTTAACTTGTAGATAAGAGTGTATTATGTACAATGTAGAGTACGATTTTCTCGGTATCTCAATTATTAATTTTTTTAGAAATTTTTAAAGTTGACCTTTTTGGGTAAAAAGAGACTTTCCCTCTTCAAACTGCCACCATTTCTATAGTAATCACAATTTTCGATAAATCCTACGCTACATTGTAGATCAGAGCCGCTTAACTTCTTGCTCACGAGCAAATTTCCCCTATAGTGGGGGAACCTCGGGAGGGGAAATTTGCTCGTGAGCAAAAAGTTAAGCGGCTCTATTGTAGATAATACATTTTTATTTATGAAACAGAAAGAATTTTCTATTTTAAATGTTCCATTCCTCGCCAGCAATGGCGGCCACAGCAATCGATGTTCTACCAGAAGAGGTTTCACCATATCTCCTCCATTTTGCAACATTTTTAATTCAAAAAATTGGATGACAAAACTGAAAGTTACATTTATACCCTCCAAAAAAATTGCAATTTTTCATTTAACACGTTGAATACCGTGGGGGTCGTCGATGACCGACCAAGATTAATACAAGCATTTAATTTAAATAAACGGCAATATTTGCAAAAATTTCATAAATTTGCACACTTAAATAATTTTATTTCCGATTGTTGACATATTATTTATACATATCGCGATCTGCTGCATTAAAATAAAAAATTAATTTCAGCGCTGTGGAGAAGTTACACAAAATTAGACCAACATCCAGCATGTCAACATAATAATTAGCGAAAAAAACAATTCTCAAACTCGTACATATCTTCAGCCACCTCGAGGTAATTCATCCCCTGAAACCAAAAACAAAGCGAGCATTCACCAACGATCTATCTTACACACTTTAATATCCGAACGTGTTGACTGACGATGCTCGCGATTCTACCATCCACAGTATCGCTCATATCCGCTCTACCGTCGATTAAATGTTGCAGCCAGTTCATCAACACCTCGATCTGGCCGCAGGCATGAACCGCGAAAGCTGCCGCCAAACTGCAAGCAGCCGACGTGATTCCGTGCATCAAAGCTCCAGCGATCAATTGAAGGAAAAACACAATTTCGTTCGTAGGAGTGTAACGAGTATCGATGATATACTTCGTAAAAGGAAACACCAACGGAATAAAGGTAAGGTTTCCATTCTCCGATAGAATTCTCCCCACGCTGATCGGTATAGCGATGTAATAAAAAACGAAACCGCTGTACATGAAGAAGGTACAGAGTAGGACCAATTTACGGCCAAAATTCGCGTTCACTATCATCGCCTCCCTGTCTTTCTCGCATCTGACATTCCTCCAGTCCCGTTCGATTCTTCTCACGCACTCGCGAATGTCCGCCTTGTGAACGATCAGAGAGTAATACTTGACGAACGCCATCACGCAGAAGATCAACGGACCGAACAGTTTCAACTTGTCGTAGAGATCTTCAACTTCGAGGAACACGTACATGGAGCACGGTACGAATAGAAAGCTTATCAAACCGTAGCATAAGGCGTTTATCAGTTTGTAGAGGATTTTTCGGGATCTGGTGGTGGTACGTGAGTTTGGCCAAAGACCCATCGGTTTCAACAACCAACGATTCCATTGGATACTGAGATTTATATTTTTCTCGTACTCGTAGTCGGTTCTGGGGGATTGTTCCTTGTTTGTTGCAAGTTTTTGCATCGTTCGCGGTTCGAAAGCTCGTCAAAGACTAAATATGAACAAGGGAGTTCTGACGGTGGTTCGAAGGAGAGGACAATGTTGCGCTTGCGCTGGTTTTCTGATTTCAACCCTCGGATTTTTTCAACCCTTCCCAGAGTTTCTCCTCTTTTCCTTTATGCATCGCGAGTTGCCGCGGACGTATTATTAGTTAGATGACGACTGTTGAACATCGATACATTGATTTTTCTCGCACGTCAACGGAACAATAATGTGGGAGTGATGGGATATGTTTATAACGAATGAATAGGATAGAACTATAACGAGGCGATAGTTGCGTGAACGAAGAGTGCTTGATCTAGAGAGATAGAGGTGCGAAGGAAGAGTATTTGAAACGAGCATTTGAAGAATATCGTGTGAACGGAAGATGCGTGGCCATTCAAAATCTTTGGTGGGCGTGACTGAATGTTTTCGAAGAATGTTTGCCTAGAGTGAAATAAACAGAGAGAGCTGGAGAAAGAAAGAATGCGAGGGTGCAAGGATAAATAAGGGTGAAAGAGGCGCGCGAGTATCAGTAGGAGAACAGTGAACGAGTTCAGCGAGGGAACGTAGTTTTGAGTCCGTAGCATCGTGAGCTTAGAACATTATACGAGCCGTTCATTTTGATAGTGCTGTAAGAGTAAAGAATTACAAGGGCTTAGAATAACTGATTTTTAAAATGACGTTGGTTCGCTGGTCGGGTACAATAATGTGTGGGTCGCTGCCCTTTTTCCCGTTTTTATACGCTTCTTCGGCTGTTAGAGGGCCCTCTGCAAGCCGTGGGGGTGCAGCCTGCGCCGCTCCTTGTCTGGGGCCCCTTGCGGCTCGGGTCCACGGTCGTTGCCTAGGCGCGTCGCACAACGCCTTACATGTAAGTCCATTAGAATATTAAGGGTCGCGTTTTAATCGACTCAAAGACAATAATGATCACTAGTAGACTCACATACTTTATGTTTTTTGTGGTGATAAATATGAAAAAACCGACGGAAAAATTTCGAGACCCAAACGGGAATCGAACCCGGGACCTCCGGCTTGGCAAGCCGAGGCTTTGCGCACTACGCCAACTACTCCCTCTATATTCTCCCTTGTCGATTTCGTATTTAAGTATGGAGGCCCCGATACTACAAATATTTCAACTTTCGAGGTATAGAAAATATATGGAAATTGCTTGAAGAAAAATTGGGACTTTGTGACCACAAACTTCGAGACCCAAACGGGAATCGAACCCGGGACCTCCGGCTTAGCAAGCCGAGGCTTTGCGCACTACGCCAACTACTCCCTCTCTATTCTCCCTTGTCGATTTCGTATTTAAGTAAGGAGGCCCCGATACTACAAATATTTCAACTTTCGATGTATATAAAATATATGGAAATTGCTTGAAGAAAAATTGGGACTTTGTGACCACAAATGGACTTACACCGCTATCAAAATTAAACGGCTCGTATTAGTTTCACGTTAAGACACTTGGAATATACAGATTTCGTTCATTAACCGAGAGTTCCAAATGTCGTTACCATAATCAACCCCGGTAAATCCTACAATAATATTAGCGGATGGTTTTAGTGAAAGTGTACGGTTAGTTAATTTCGTAGATTAGTTTAGAGATTTTCTTTTCCTACGCTTACTCTTTATTTCGTTAATATCAAAGGTTCTTGCGCACAGGAGCAGTTTTAAATGGTTCAATTTGTAGATTTTGTGAGATGGAAATACTTTTAGGATAGTATTTTACGTGATGGATTAATGGTTATTGGTCGAATCTTCGTAGTTTTGAGGGATATGCAGTTTTTTATTTATGATAAGTAGTGCAGTTATACGTACGATGTTTCCATTTAATTACTATTTGTCGATGTAATATAAAATCATTGATGCGACGATATAGTTTTCGTTCAAGTTTCCAATGATACCATGAAGATGTACCGTGAGATTGGCAATGTTTCTTAACGTAGAGCATTTATGAAAATGTTCGTAACGCGTTTAAGAAGGCAACCGATGTTCGAACAACCTGTGAGTTTGGAGATATTTTTTTTTCATTTGTGAAAATTGTGTATAATGGAAGTTGTTTGATACTTACACTGCTGAAAGTGCTGATAGACAGTTCTACCATGTTTCCAGCTGTGAATTTGACGGATGAATTGGACATTGCCATGATCAAAATGCAACAGAGCTTTTTGTTACCTGGCAATCGGTACCATTCGATCATGTACGATACTTCTCCGACCTTTTTGCACTGTTGTAACATAATACATAATGATGATAAAATCGTTTGAAAATTATTACGTTACGGATGAAATATTTCTATAGATACTTTTTATCAATTTTCAAAGATAGAATAATTGGAATAAAATTATACCTGTTCAGACACAAGCTCGCCTATGTAACAAAATATGAAAATATTGAAAGTGAGAGAGATATACAACACCACGTAAGTTACTGTAGTTGTTAAATTGTTCGAATTCCATTCCTATAATATTAAAAATTTGACGATGTTTGATATATTTTGCGTGAATTATTTTTATGTCCTCTGCATACCGTTATTATGTAATATCCAACGAGACAGAGATTCACCGTGCATACTAATAATTCAGCGAAAGATACTTGCCGAAGTGCTTTCTCCACGAGCTCTAAGAATCTGGAATACAATGATCCTTTACTGCCTGGCAGTAACGTTACACACTTAAATTAAAGACTCCAAATTCAAATTTTCGCATTCAAAATTTCACATTCGAATTTTCAAATTTTCGAAGTCAAATATTTAAATATTCAAATTTTCACGTTCAAATTTTCAAATTTAAGTTCTGACATTCAAAATTTCATATTCACATTTCCAAAATTTCAAAT